CACACCCTGGCTCAACATATAGAGTCCCAGAGCCAGGGTGTGACACTTGTTCAGGACTGATAAAACCAGCTGGGACAACAAAGCATTGAATCTGCTCTATAGGGGGCCTCTTGAAGTTGAAGCAAACAAAGAACACATATTACTCTAAAACAACTGTTTTTATTTGTCCCAGATGACTGTCTATTAAAATAATAAATTTGATATTTATCAGTATGGAAGCAGATTCATGGCAAAACAAATACAAATACAAATAAAACATTTAACCGAACCGCTAACCTAATGAATAATCCTTACCTTAAATTAAGACTAAAAAGCTGAGCGGTAGCAGAGAGAACAGTCTATGACTAGGGTGGTTGGAATCTTTGACAATTTTGAGGGCCTTCCTCTGACACCGCCTGGTATAGAGGTCCTGGATGGCAGGAAGCTTGGCCCCAGTGATGTACTGTGCCATACACACTACCCTCTGTAGTGCCTTGCAATCAGAGGCCAAGCAGTTGCTATACCAGGCGGTGATGCAACCAGTCAGGATGCTCTCGATGGTGCAGCTGTAGAATTCTTTGATGATCTGAGGACCCCCATGGCAAATCTTTTCAGTCTCCTGAGGGGGAATAGGCTTTGTCGTGCCCTCTTCACGACTGTCTTGGTGTGTTTGGACCATGAGAGTTTGTTGGTGATGTGGACACCAAGGAACTTGAAGCTCTCAAGCTGTTCCACTACAGCCCCGTCGATGAGAATGGGGGCGTGCTCAGTCCTCTTTTTTTTCCTGTAGTCCACAATCATCTCCTTTGTCTTGGTCACGTTGAGGGAGAGGTTGTTATCCTGGCACCACACGGCCAGGTCTCTGACCTCCTCCCTATAGGCTGTCTCATCGTTGTCGGTGATCAGGCCTACCACTGTTGTGTCGTCGGCAAATTTAATAATGGTGTTGGAGTCGTGCCTGGCCATGCAGTCATGGGTGAACAGGGAGTACAGGAGGGGACTGAGCACGCACCCCTGAGGGGCCCCCGTGTTGAGGATCAGTGTGGCAGATGTGTTGTTACCTACCCTTACCACCTGGGGGAGGCCCATCAGGAAGTCCAGGATCCAGTTGCAGAGGGAGGTGTTTAGTCCCAGGATCCTTAGCTTAGTGATGAGCTTTGAGGGCACTATGGTGTTGAACGCTGAGCTGTAGTCAATGAATAGCATTCTCACGTAGGTGTTCCTCTTGTCCAGGTGGGAAAGGGCAGTGTGGAGTGCAATAGAGATTGCATCATCTGTGGATCTGTTTAGGCGGTATGCAAATTGGAGTGGGTCTAGGGTATCTGGGATAATGGTGTTGATGTGAGCCATGACCAGCCTTTCAAAGCACTTCATGTCTACAGACGTCAGTGCTACGGGTCGGTAGTCATTTAGGCAGGTTATCTTAGTGTCCTTGGGCACGGGGACTATGGTGGTCTGCTTGAAACATGTTGGTATTACAGACTCAGTCAGGGACAGGTTGAAAATGTCAGTGAAGACACTTGCCAGTTGGTCAGCACATGCTCGGAGTACACGTCCTGGTAATCAGTCTGGCCTTGTGAATGTTGACCTGCTTAAAAGTCTTACTCACATCGGCTACGGAGAGCGTGATCACATAGTCATCCGGAACAGCTGGTGCTCTCATGCATGCTTCATTGTTGCTTGCCTCGAAGCGGTCATAGAAGTGGTTTAGCTCGTCTGGAAGTCTTGTGTCACTGGGCAGCTAGCGGCTGTGCTTCCCTTTGTAGTCTGTAATAGTTTTTAAGCCCTGCCACATCCGACGAGCGTCAGAGCCGGTGTAGTACAATTCAATCTTAGTCCTGTATTGACTCTTTGCCTGTTTGATGGTTCGTTGGAGGTCATAGCGGGATTTCTTATAAGCTTCCGGGTTAGAGTCCCGCTCCTTGAAAGCGGCAGCTCTACCCTTTAGCTCAGTGCGGATGTTTCCTGTAATCCATGGCTTCTGGTTGGGGTATGTACGTACGGTCACTGTGGGGACGACATCATCGATGCACTTATTGATGAAGCCAGTGACTGATGTGGTGTACTCCTCAATGCTATCTGAATAATCCCGGAACATGTTCCAGTCTGTGCTAGCAAAACAGTCCTGTAGCTTAGCATCTGTGTCATCTGACCACTTTTTTATTAACCGAATCACTGGTGCTTCCTGCTTTAGTTTTTGCTTATAAGCAGGAATCAGGAGGATAGAGTTATGGTCAGATTTGCCAAATGGAGGGCGAGGGAGAGCTTTGTATGCGTCTCTGTGTGTGGAGTAAAGGTGGTCTAGAGTTTTTGTTTCCTCTGGTTGCACATTTAACATGCTGGTAGAAATTAGGTTGAACGGATTTAAGTTTGCCTGCATTAAAGTCCCCGGCCACTAGGAGCGCTGCCTCTGGATGGGCGTTTTCCTGTTGACTTATGGCCTTATACAGCTCATTCAGTACAATCTTAATGCCAGCATTGGTTTGTGGTGGTAAATAGACAGCTATGAAAAATATAGATGAAAACTCTCTAAATAGTGTGGTCTACAGCTTATCATAAAATACTCTACCTCAGGTGAGCAAAACCTAAAGACTTCCTTAGTATTTGATTTTGTGCACCAGCTGTTGTTTACAAATATACACAGACCGCCAACCCTTGTCTTACTGGAGTCAGCCGTTCTAGCGTATAGCCCGCTAGCTGTATGTTGTCCATGTCGTCGTTCAGCCACGACTCGGTGAAACATAAGATATTACCGTTTTTAATGTCCCGTTGGTAGGATAACCGAATGACGGGGATTTGGGCCTTGTCGGGTGTCTGTAGGATATCCTTCGCGGCCGCCTCGTTGAAGAAAAAATATTCGTCCAATACGAGGTGAGTAATTGCTGTCCTGATATCCAGAAGCTATTTTTGGTTATAAGAGACGATGGCAGAAACATTATATACAAAATAAATAACAAATAACGGGGAAAAACACACATAATAGTACGATTGGTTAGAGGGCTGTATGCATACCCCACAAAACATGCCACCAGAGGTCTCTTCACAGTCCCCAAGTCCAGATTAGACTATGGGAGGTGCACAATACTACATAGAGCCATGACTACATGGAACTCTATTCCACATCAGGTAACTGATGCAAGCAGTAGAAACAGATTTTAAAAACCAGGTAAAAATACACCTCATGGAACAACGGGGACTGTGAAGAGACACACACAAAGGTATAGACACATGCATACGCACCCATTGTAATATTGTTGCATGGTGGTATTAAACATTTTGAATTGTAGATAGGTAGTGGTGTAATAATGTTATATGATGTACTGTTTTATATTTTGTTTTATATGTAATGTAAGTGTTTTAATATGTTTGGACCCCAGGGAGAGTAGCTGCTGCCTTTGAAGCAGCTAATGGGGATCCCTAATAAATACAAATACAAATGTGGAAGTTGAGGTAAGCAGAACAAAAATACCATGTACAGTACTAGTCAAAAGTTTGGACACACCTACTACTTCCAGGGTTTTTCTTTATTTTTACTATTTTCTACATTGTAGAATAATAGTGAAGACATCAACACTATTAAATCATGTAGTACACAAAAAAGTGTTAAACAAATCAAAATATGTTTTATATTTGAGATTCGTCAAAGTAGCCAACCTTGGCCTTCACGGCAGCTTTGCACACTCTTGGCATTCTCTCAACCAGCTTCATGAGGACTTATTTTCCAACAGTCTTGATGGGGCTCCAACATATTCTGAGCACTTGTTGGCTGCTTTTCCTTCACTCTGCGGTCCAACTCATCCCAAACCATCTCAATTGGGTTGAGGTCGAGTGATTGTGGAGGCCAGGTCATCTGATGCAGCACTCCATCACTCTCCTTCATGGTCAAATACACAGCCTGGAGGTGTCAAAAACAAATGATAGTCCCACTAAGCGCAAAATAGATGGCATGGCGTATCTCTGCAGAATGCCGTGGTAGCCATGCTGGTTAAGTGTGCCTTGAATTCTAAATAAATCATAGACAGTGTCACGAGCAAAGCACCCCCACACCATCACACCTCCTCCTCCGTGCTTCATGGTGGGAACCACACATGCAGAGATCATCCGTTCACCTACTCTGTATCTCACAAAGACACAGTGGTTGGAACCAAAAATCTCAAATTTGTACTCATCAGACCAAAGTACAGAATTCCACGATCGAATGTCCATTGCTCGTGTTTCTTGGCCCAAGCAAGTCTCTTCTTATTATTGGTGTCCTTTAGTAGTGGTTTCTTTGCAGCAGTTCAACCATGAAGGCCTGATTCACGCAGTCCCCTCTGAACAGTTGATGTTGAGATGTGTCTGTTACATGAACTCTGGGAAGCATTTACTTGGGCTGCAATCTGATGTTCAGTTAACTCTACTGAATTTATCCTCTGCAGCATAGGTGACTCTGGGTCTTCCTTTCCTGTGGCGGTCCTCATGAGAGCCAGTTTCATCATATCGCTTTATGGTTTTTGCGACTGCACTTGAAGAAAGTTCTTTACATTTTCCGTATTGACTGACCTTCATTTCTTAAAGTAATGATAGACTCTCATTTCTCTTTGCTTATTTGAGCTGTTCTTGCGATAATATGGACTTGGTCATTTACCAAATAGGGCTATCTTCTGTATACCCCCCCACCTTGTCACAACACAACTGATTGGCTCAAACACATTAAGAAGGAAAGAAATTCCACAAATTAACTTTTAACAAGGCACACCTGTTAATTTAAATGCATTCCAGGTGACCACCTCATGAAGCTGGTTGAGAGAATGCCAAGAGTGTGCAAAGCTTTCATCAAGGCAAATATATTTTGATTTGTTTAACACTTTTTTGGTTACTACATGATTCCATATGTGTTATTTAATAGTTGTGATGTCTTCACTATTACTCTACAATGTAGAAAATAGTAAACATTTGTTGTGGGAGGAGTGCAAGTTCCTGCCAAGGGGGTTGTGATTGTCAAGGATGACTGTCTGGGGGCAGACAAAGGAATTGTTGTGATGAACGTTATAGCCCATTGCTGGAAGGAGGTGTCCCAGGGTGTCACTGGGTTCAACGCGACGTTGGTGGCAGCTGCCTGTCAGAATGTTTTTGCTGTTTTGCAGAAGAGTCCTGCTGACCAATGAGCCTTAGGGGGGCCCAGGTACTGCACCAATGGGATCCCAGCTAACAGTGAAACGTTGCTCTGGGCCAGAGTTGTTAGAGGGAAAATACTATTATATTCTCCAATGACTATTATACCCTAGTGGAGGACCCCGGTGTTGGAGTTGAGTGGCAAGTTAGGTCTCCCGAGTGGCGCAGTGGTCTAAGGCACTGCATCGCAGTGCTAGCTGTGCCACTAGAGATCCTGGTTCGAATCCAGGCTCTGTCGTAGCCGGCCGTGACCGGGAGACCCATGGGGCGGCGCGCAATTGGCCCTGCGTCGTCCAGGGTAGGGGAGGGAATGGCCGGCAGGGATGTAGCTCAGTTGATAGAGCATGGCGTTTGCAACGCCAGGGTTGGTGGTTCGATTCCCACAGGGGGTATGAAAAAATAAATAAATAATGTAAGTCGCTCTGGATAAGAGCGTCTGCTAAATGACGTAAATGTAAAATGTAAATGAAGTTGTTCACAGATTGGTGAGAGGAGGCAAGGAGGAAGGCTACCCTTGTGACTGCTGAACTAAAACCATTACCCCCTTGAGATTCCAAGGCGACGCCCCGCTGGCCACAGTGACCCTCTTGGAGCCTTCCCAGACCTGTGGAGAACAAGACTTTGTGCATCCAGACACCAGGTGAAGTTGAAGTGGATGTCCAGCTACAGCCTGATGGTCAACCCCCCTGTAAACCTCCCACCGGTAGAGGGACTGGAGCAAACACAGCAACAAAGGCTCAATGCACTCCTATCCCATTGGTCAAGTGTGTTCCCACAGGTACTGTCCCCCCCCCCCCCCTCTCCCTCTCTCCCTTATCCTCTATCTCCCCCTCTACCTATCTCCCTCCCATTCTACTCCCTCCCCCTCTACCTGTCTCCCTCCCCCTCTACCTATCTCCCTCCCATTCTACTCCCTCCCCCTCTCCCTCTCTCCCTTCTCCTCTACCTCTCTCCCTCCCCCTCTACCTCTCTCTCCCCCCCCCCCTCTACCTCTCTCCCTCCCCCTCTACCTATCTCCCTCCCCCTCTACCTCTCTCCCTCCCCCTCTACCTCTCTCCCTCCTCTTCTACCTATCTCCCTCCCCCTCCCCTCCCTCTCCGCTCCTCTTCCTGTCCTGTCTGCACTCAGCAACTCTTGGTGAGGCATCATTAGGTATAATGTACTTTCTGGTTTGCAGCAGGCCTTTCTCGAGGGGATATTTGAAGTGGGGAGAAGGCCCTGACGTTAGTGGAGGGCTGAGGAACTCTCTCCTCCCCCCTCCTCATCTATCCCTCTCACCACCCCTTCATCCTCCGTTCCTCTCCTCCTCTCTCTCGTTCCCCCTTACACCTACAACCCTGGGGTTCTCTGTAAAACAGCTCTTCAACAGAGAGGCCTGTCATCCCGAAACACACACAGGGTCATCATCTCCACTGACAGGAACATGTGCTGTGTCCAGGTGTGTGTGTGCCAGTGATGGGGCTGGCATGGATCACTGGGTCAGACCGAGCCAGGCATCCACACGCATGGCACCAGTATGACATCATAACCTCCAACAACATGTCTTAACGTTGTAGAAAAATAAGGAAGTGATGTGCTGCTAAGGTACACATTAGTACGTTTTGGTACACAGAAAGTGCTCTTTGTTGCTAAAAGGGGTAAATTGATCATCTTAATGACCTATATAATGAGTTGGCAGAGTAACCTTACTTGGCAACAGGTAAGGAGTGTTCATCATATAGAAAGGAGGACCAAGGCACTCTTCATATAATTAATTAAAATGCCTTTAATTGTATGGCGTGTTCAATAGAAACAACGATTAAAAACTCAGACGCGTTTCGGCTGCATGGCCTTCGTCAGGGAGGTGTCTTCCTTTAACCATGATTCACAGCTAATTTGTCTAGGCTTGTCAGACTCATGTTGGGGGTATCTAGGTTAGTCAGACTCATGTTGGGGGTATCTAGGTTAGTCAGACTCATGTTGGGGGTATCTAGGTTAGTCAGACTCATGTTATCTAGGTTAGTCAGACTCATGTTGGGGGTATCTAGGGTTAGTAGACTCAGTTATCTAGGTTACACTCATGTTGGGGGTATTCGGTAGGTAGTATCTAGGACCTCATGTTGGGGGTATCTAGGTTAGTCAGACTCATGTTTGGGGGTATCTAGGTTTAGTCCACGACTCATGTTGGGGTTTTATCTCAGGTTAGTCAGACTCATGTTGGGGGTATCTAGGGTTAGTCGACTCATGTTGGGGGTATCTAGGTTAGTCAGACTCATGTTGGGGGTATCATGGGTTAGTCAGACTCATGTTGGGGTATCTAGGTTAGTCAACTCGGGTTAGGACTCATTTGGTTGGGGGGTATCTTGGGTTAGTCAGACTCATGTTGGGGGTATCTGGGTTAGTCAGACTCATGTTGGGGGTATCTAGGTTAGTCAGACTCATGTTGGGGGTATCTAGGTTAGTCAGACTCATGTTGGGGGTATCTGGGTTAGTCAGACTCATGTTGGGGGTATCTAGGTTAGACAGACTCATGTTGGGGGTATCTGGGTTAGTCAGACTCATGTTGGGGGTATTTAGGTTAGTCAGACTCATGTTGGGGGTATCTAGGTTAGTCAGACTCATGTTGGGGGTATCTAGGTTAGTCAGACTCATGTTGGGGGTATCTAGGTTAGTCAGACTCATGTTGGGGGTATCTAGGTTAGACCTATGTTGGGTATCTGTAAAGAGTTCATTCAAGTTACCCTTTTTTTCGCAAAGTGGGTATATACGTTTACTAACCCAAAGTCTTTATATTGTGTAACTGTAATAATTTTCACACTCTCTCCCCCACTCTGCTGCTCGCATTGTGATCAATCAGGCCGATAGATGCCTCTCCATCTGCTGCCACCCTCCATACAACCAGCGCCTGTCCATTTCTGTTCTTTTATGGACTCATCTGCCCGAGCATGGGCTTCAGTCTCAATTATAATTTTTTATGAATACATTTTCATGAATATATTACCATCTTCTCTCCCCCATTTGGTGTGGTGTTGTTTTTCTCACAGTTTAATCACGGGCCAGATAAATCAGGCACATATTTGCTGTCCATCTGCTGTGAAGATGCAGTGATGTCGCTTTGGGCCTCCCCCATTCAGACTGGTGGACTCACTCTCTCTCACTCTCTCTCTCTCTCTCTCTCTCTCTCTCTCTCTCTCTCTCTCTCTCTCTCTCTCTCTCTCTCTCTCTCTCTCTCTCTCTCTCTCTCTCTCTCGCTCTCTCTCTCTCTCTCATAGCTGTGGGCCTCCCCCATTCAGGAAATGATAGGAGGACCGAGACACAGGCCGAGCCAGTACACCTCTCTACAGTCTGCTTGTATGTCTGTGCTGACGTGAATTATGCCATTTTTTTTTTTTTTATCTGAGAGAAATTCAGAGAGACAATGTCTTCCGACTTTGGAACATGACCCCGAGAGAGATTCTAGACATTTGGTAACATAACATTGTTTAAATCTTCCCCTCGTAATGTTACTGTGGATCTAACATGGCTGCCATAGAAGGCTTGTAGTGTCATGTAAATGCATCATAATGCAGAAACTTCAATGTCCCAACTCTCTGAACACACGACTCTGTTAACAACCAGAGAGCCACTGGTGCTTAGAGATATACTACATTAACCAATATTAATATTTAAGTAACGTTATTGATATTAATTATTCATATAACCCTCACTTTCAAATAGATTAAATTAATTATGTTGATATAATTAGCATATATTTTGGAGGTTAATATAATAATGTTTGTATTATATTTGAATCTGTAATGGGTTTTGTAGGAGTCGTTACATGTTAATTAGATTGATGACAGTTAGTTCGATGCCAGCAGGGTCATTTGTATGGCAAGGAGTTTACAATAGACATGTTGCATTGACATTGACTTTAGCGTTGACATTTGGAGAGTGGCATTGACTGTCTGTCTGCACCCAACTTTTGTGAGAATTGACTTTGCGAATGTGATGACATGGAATTCATAGTGCTCTACATGAATGGTCTGAGACAGCAGGGCTACCCTTCATTACTATGATATTAGGTTTGTACGTTCAATAAAACCAATACTCACTCTCATACCTCTGGCCTGCGTGTCAGTCTGTGTCTGCTAGTATTAAGACAAAAAGACTGGCACCCAGGCTATAACACCTCTCTCAGACAATCAATTGATTGGTCTAGAGATTGAAAAGAGACACCACTGCAACCCTGCAAACCAAGTCGACAAAACTCTATAAACCAGGGTCTGTAAATCTGTATTCTGGCCTTGGACCACAATCAGCCCTAATCTGCAGGGATGGGGAGGGGCAACCCTGTTACCAGGAAGGAACCTTAATTAGCAAATTAGAGCTCTCCTTTCACTTAGCAACAACAACATGTGTTTGGTAGCAGACAGCTGTCCTCCGACCCTATTAACCAGCAGTTATCCCCTCGTCACACACACATATGAGTGAAGATTTGTACTTCAACGTGTCGGCAGCTCTGGACGTTATGCTTACCCCTGACCAGACCCTGATCCCCGGGACTCAAAAATATGCCATTTAGCAGACGCTTTTATCCAAAGCGACTTACAGTCATGTGCGCATACATTTTTACGTATGGGTGGTCCCGGGGATCGAACCCACTACCCTGGCGTTACAAGCGCCATGCTCTACCAATTGAGCTACAATTGGAGGAAGAGATGGCGAAAGAGAGAGCAAGCGAGGCGGCGTCATCATTAGACTACCGTCGGCGAGCATCTAGACCGCCATTGTTTTGTTTGGCGAACGTACAATCACTATGGAACAAAGTGGACGAGCTCTGTCCGAGACTGTCCTATCAACGTGGCCTGAAGGACTGTAATATCCTGTGTTTTCTTGGACTTGGATAATATATACCTCGCTGGCATCGCCGAGATCGGACGGCAGCCTCGGGTAAGCTGAGAGGGGGAGGGGTCTCTTTCATAACAACAGCTGGTCTCCAATGTTAAGGAAGTCTTGAGTTTTTGCTTGCGTGAGTTATATTACCTCAAGCTGCAGATCATACTATTTACCAAGAGAGTTTTCATCTATATTTTCATAGCTGTCTATTTACCACCACAAACCGATAATGGCACTAAGACTGCACTCAATGAGCTGTATAGGGCCATATTAAAGCCAACAAGAACATTCTCATCCAGCGGCAGCGATCCTAATGGCCGATGATTTGCACTGCCCCCCCCCCACCCCATCCCCCTCTTTTATGCTGTTGCTTCTCTGTTTATTATTTATGCATAGTCACTTTAACTCTACCCACGTGTACATATTACTTCAATTACCTTGACTAGCCGGTGCCCCCGCACATTGACTCTGCACCGGTACCCCTCCTGTATATATAGCCTCCCTACTGTTATGTTACTGCTGCTCTTTAGTTGTTTGCTGTTATTCTTTAAAAATCTAAATTGAATCAAAAAATTAAAAAATGCATTGTTGGTTAAGGGCTTGTAGGTAAGCATTTCACTGTAATGTCTACACCTGTTGTATTCGACGCACGTGGCAAATAACATTTGATTTGATTTGATTTTAATGCATGAAAACTGAAATCCGTTTTACCTCATTTTTACCAGCATGTCACCTGGGCAACTATAGGCAAAAAAAACTCTAGATTACCTTTCCGCCACACACAGAATCGCCCTCCCTTTGATTCTTGCTTACAAGCAAAAGTTCAAACAGGAAGTACCAGTGACGCGCTCAATACGGAAGTGGTCCGATGAAGCAGATGCTAAGCTACAGGACTATTTTGCTACCACAGACTAGAACATGTTCCGGGATTCATCCGATAACATTGAGGAGTATACCACATCAGTCACCGGCTTCATTAATAAGTGAATCGACCCAACCAGAAGCCATGGATTATAGGCAACATCCACACTGAGCTAAAGGCTAGAGCTGCCACTTTCAAGGAGCAGGACACTAACCCGGACGCTTAAAGGAAATCCCACTACGCCCTCCGACGAATCATCAAATAGGCAAAGCGTCAATACAAGACTAAGATCAAATCCTACTACTCTGACGGTCGTCGGATGTGGCAAGGCTTGCAATCTATCATGGATTACAAAGGGAAACCCAGCCACGAGCTGCACATTGACACGAGCCTACCAGACAAGCTAAATGCTGTCTATTCTCAATTAAAGGCAAGCAACAGCCCAAGATAATTTTGTTTGGTTATAGTCATGGCCGTGTATATACCCCCTCAAACCGATACCATGACGGCCCTCAAAGAACTTCACTGGACTTTATGCCAATTGGAAACCACATATCCTGAGGCTGCATTTATTGTACCAGGGCATTTTAACAAAGCAAATTTGAGGACTATCAACATATCAACTGTTGTACTCGGGCTGCTAAATATCTCGACCATTGCTATTCGAACTTCTGGGATGGTTATAAGGCCCTCCCCTGCCCTCCTTTCAGCAAATCTGACCACGGCTCCATTTTGCTCCTCCCTTCCTATAGGCAGAAACTCAAACAGGAAGTACCCATGCTAAGGACTATTCAACGCTGGTCTGACCAATCGGAATCCACGCTTCAAGATTGTTTTGATCACATGGACTGGGATATGTTCCGGGTAGCTTGCGAAAATAATTTAGTCGAATACACTGAAACGGTGACTGAGTTCATCAGGAAGTGTATAGGAGATGTTGTGCCCACTGTAACTATTAAAACCTACCCTAACCAGAAACCATGGATAGACGGCAGCATTCGCGCAAAACTGAAAACACAAACCACCGCATTTAACCATGGCAAGGTGACTGGGAATATGGCAGAATACAAACAGTGTAGCTATTCACTCTGCAAGGCAATTAAACAGGCAAAACATCAGTATAGATACAAAGTGGAGTCGCAATTCAACGGCTCAGACACGAGACATACAGTGGGTTCCCCACTTAAAAAGATGAGAGAGGCCTGTAATTTTCATCATAGGTACACGTCAACTATGACAGACAAAATGAGAAAAAAAATTCCAGAAAATCACATTGTAGGATTTTTAATGAATTTATTGGCATATGATGGTGGAAAATAAGTATTTGGTCAATAACAAAAGTTTCTCAATACTTTGTTATATACCATTTGTTGGCAATGACACAGGTCAAACGTTTTCTATAAGTCTTCACAAGGTTTTCACACACTGTTGCTGGTATTTTGGCCCATTCCTCCATGCAGATCTCCTCTAGAGCAGTGATGTTTTGGGGCTGTCGCTGGGCAACACAGACTTTCAACTCCCTCCAAAGATTTTCTATGGGGTTGAGATCTGGAGACTGGCTAGGCCACTCCAGGACCTTGAAATGCTTCTTACGAAGCCACTCCTTCGTTGCCCGGGCGGTGTGTTTGGGATCATTGTCATGCTGAAAGACCCAGCCACGTTTCATCTTCAATGCCCTTGCTGATGGAAGGAGGGTTTCACTCAAAATCTCACGATACATGGCCCCATTCATTCTTTCCTTTACACGGATCAGTCGTCCTGGTCCCTTTGCAGAAAAACAGCCCCAAAGCATGATGTTTCCAACCCCATGCTTCACAGTAGGTATGGTGTTCTTTGGATGCAACTCAGCATTCTTTGTCCTCCAAACATGACGAGTTGAGTTTTTACCAAAAAGTTATATTTTGGTTTCATCTGACCATATGACATTCTCCCAATCCTCTTCTGGATCATCCAAA